CTGTGTCATGGCGGGGGAGGAGCCCCTCAGTGACAGGGACGGAGCCACGCGGCCCCCCGGCACAGCCCGGGGAGCCGAGCCTGTCCCCCAGGGAGGATCCCCTGCCATGCAGGGAGCTGCGGAGGCCATATAGCCTTACCCACCCCCTTCCTCCTCCTGTCCAGCCTGTGCCCAGGACGTTTGCTCCAGCCCAGCACTGAAGCGGCCATCCAAGCAGATAACAAACTGTCTTTGTGCTTATTCTCAGCACAATTATACTACATCAAAGGATCTCAACTATTTTTCCTTTTTTTAAATTTTTATTTATTTTTTATTTTTTTATTTTTCATAATGCAGGCCTCAGAACCCTTTCCTCCCTCCTGCGGGGTCTGAGGTTTGCACCATCTATTCCTGTCTGTGCAGTGGAGGAAGGAGATGCCTGTGGGCCCCAGGATGAGTTTGAAGGCAGCTGGGTCCTGAGCAGGAGGCAGCTCTGATATGTAGAGCTCGATGGATAACGTGGACGGTCTGAAGCCCTTCCAGTGAGACATCAGGGATGCTCCAGGACCCAGGAGTTCTTGGGACTTCCTGGCAAATGGGGAGGATCCTCCCTGCGGCAGAACCGCCCCCCCCGGGGACCATCTTTCTCCTCCTGTGTCAATGCAAAGCTTTGGGATGGTGTCCAGTTAATCCAAGTCTCCTTGTCACTTCAGTGAGGTTTTCTTCTTCCCACAGAGGTCTTTCAAAACAATTTCATTTTGCTGTTCTACACACTGCAACCCGGGGTCCCCTAGCTGTACCCATCCAAATGAATTTAACATAAATCCGCTACACCTGGGAGTCTGCAGCTGGTGCCTGCCTGACTCCGGCCTCGCCGCCACTGCCGGCTGCCTCCTCCGCCCCAGCCCCTCGACTCTCCTTTGCTCCAGCACCGTCTCCTTCCTGCTGCTCCTGCTCAGCCTCTGTGGGTGGCTGCTCTCTGGGCTGGAAGCATTTGGTGAGGCTGCTTAATGCTTGGGCGCTCCTGAGCCCTTTCATGAGCAAAACACCGAGTGCTGCAAGTACCAGGAGAATAACAACAGTTACTACTATAGTAGCCATGATCAACCTGAACAGCCCCTTTTTAGTGACCGGTGCAGGCCCGCTGTCAATGCTCCCTCCAAAGCCAGCGAACTTGCAGTAAGGAGGCGCCCAGCCGTCATCACAGTGGCAGTTTCCTTTCGTGTTGCAAACTCCATTCCCTCTGCACGTTTTCTTAGAAGAACAGGGGGACGTCAGGTGCGCGGCCTCAGGGACGCACGTGCGGTTAATGCAGATCTTCTTCTCCCCGCACGGCATGCCGTCCTCCACAACGCCCCCGTCCAGGATGTCCAGCCCCAGGTGGTAGTCTGTGCCCCAGCACAACGTGTCCCCCACCGGCGTCTGGATGATGGTTGTGTGGTCTTGCAGCCAGGGGACACGTCTGATGTTTGTACACTGCATCCTCCCGCACAGGACGTTTTCTAGCTTGCATTTCTCGAATTTGCCATCTGACCCACTCCCCCAGCAATTGCCAAACCGATCCCCTTTCATGTTCACCTCCTTGAAACATTTAAATGGAGCGGGTCTTGTTTCTTTGCCAAAGATACTAATGCACAATAGCGTGTGAGACCGGCACTTGCCTGCATAACAGTACCCATCCTCAGCGCACACAGTCCCATCCTGCATGGTCACGTCCGCCGGGCAATGTTCCGATTTCCCACTGCAATATTCCGGCAGGTCGCAGGGCCCGGTGCTCTCCCGACACACTTCTCCTTCGGGGAGAGGCCTGCACTTCCTACAGCAGCCTCCAGAAGTGCAGATGGCTCCTTCTTTCTTTCGACACATGTTATCGCAGCACGGGTCCAGCCTGCACCGCGCCGCGGAGCCGCAGTCGCACTGCTCCCCAGGCTCCACGATGCCGTTCCCGCAGCGCTGCGGTAGAAAAGGCATTATTGACTCCGGGGCGTTATTCAGGCAGAATCCTTTCCCCGATGCTATAAAATCATAGTAGTACTGGGTGCTGCAGTTGCTGAACTGATAGTTGACGATGCTGTGCGCGTTCATGATGCACTTGGTGGTGTTGCCGCACCTGCAGTATTTGCCGTCGTGCTCCATGCCGAACACGTGCCCCAGCTCGTGCGCGACGTGCGCGGCCGCGTGCAGAGGAGGCAGCTTTGCAAATGACACCACAGCAGAGGCGCGTTGTCTGTCACACACGCTGGCGAAGTTGGACTTGCCGCCCAGGTGCAACATTTTGGGGCCCTGATTGAAATCCAGCGCGGCGAACAGGCACCCCACGTCATACCCAGTGTGCATGAGGCTTTTCTGCTTCCGCCAAGAATTAAAATTAAGGAGAACCTCCGTTATGTTTTTGGAAATAGCGATAGGGTTCTGCTCTGCCCAAACTTCCAGTGCGGTTATTAAAACGCGGAGGCGGAAGGGGTAAAACAGCCCATCCACCAGATTGATTATTTCGATAACTTCCAGCGTCACGTTGGTTATATTTTTACCGAAGGCGTCGAACCCTTCCTTGTCCACCACGACCAGGAGCTCCAGGTAGCGGGTGTGCCCCCAGGGCTGGAACTGCCTGCTGGCTGCCCCGGCGCCTGCGGACTGCCACCCCGCCGGGGGCTCTCTGCACATGATCGCGCCGAGCGCCGCGTCCTCCGTCTGCAGCAGCACGTGCTCGAACGTGGAGGAACCCGCCAGGGGCTCGATGCTGTAGCTCAGGTTGCCGAGGTGCAGCAGCCCCCTGAGGCCGTTGCAGGTGCTCAGGGTGACGGTGGAGTCGGGGCTGCCATCCACGTAGCCCTGGTAGTAGCAATCGGCTGCCACCCGGGGCTGCTGGGCCACCACCACACCCAGGGCGTTGCGGGTGAATACCGGGAAGTTTTTGACCATGAAGTCCTTCTTCTGCTGGAGCTTTAGGGTGTAATCCATCCCCTGGATGTTGATGGCGTAGGACACCCTGTCCCGGCTGGCTCTCCCTGCCCTGGGGCTGATTTTCCTGGGGACCACGATGTCGTAGGCCGCGTAGCCCCAGGCGGGCTGCGCGCCGCAGGGCAGCACGAGCGCCAGGAGCGCCACGGGGAGGCC